CACTGCTGAGCTGCTCATGCTGTTGCTGGCCTTCCTTGACCCTCACCGTGCTGGTGAAGAGCGTGTGCTGGGACACGCGGGGGGAGAGGCCGCCTGTCGTCTCAGGCCTTGCAGCCAGAACGATGCGGGGACATCCATGTATCTGTGCCCTCTGACCACCTGTCCTCCTCTTCTCTGGGTCATGCAGGCCCAGATGAACCTGGGTTAGTTAGCTGTTGTCATTATATTACTTAAAAAAACATAGCAAGTTAGTGCTCAGCACGTGCGTTATGCCACTGGCTTTGTGAGTCAATGATACCGCCCGGCCGGCATCTCTCTGGGCTTCCTGGTCTCGCACAAGGCCTCATCAAGGTGTGGGCTGGCACGGGGTCTCAGGTGAGGGTCACCAAGGAAGGGTCCCCTGCCAGGTTCACCTCGGGCTGCTGAGAGGATCGAGCGGGTTCCTGACGCCCTTGGAGCGAGAGCCTGGGCGCCTCGGTGGGCTCGGAATGGAGGCGAACGCAGGTGCCACGTGGCCCTCGCCACAGCCCAGGTCCTCCAACCGTGACAGAGGAGAGCTGTGTAAGGTGGCTGCCAGCGAGGGGAGAGCCGCCGTCTCGTGCCATGCAGCCGCTGCGTGCCACTGTGGGCTGGTGCTTAGAAGTCAGCAGCTCTAGGATGCAGAGCTGATGTACCACGGACACCAGAATGTTCAGTAACTGTGGTGCACCTTACAGAACGCCTGCCACGGCGGGTCCGACACGGCGCATAGAGTGCCACTGCAGATGCTTAGAGCGAGGGTCTATTTACATAAACGACAAAACCATGCAAAATAAACTACCTCTGGGAATATGTACCTCGCTCACTGTTGAAAACCAAGAGCAAAGGCTACCTTGAAACTCGTCCTAGTGATTGTTTTGAAGTGGAGCAGGGGAGATACGACCAAGAAGATACAGGTCTATGCAGACGGTGTTTGAAAAGCTGTGCTTTTAGACTGGGATTTTGGCTACAGTACAAATTAGTGTGTTATATTAAGCATACATATTTCGTGTCTTGTTTATCTATTTATTGTCTTTTTGAAACAGGGTCTCACTGTGCAGCTCAGGCTGGTCTTGAGTTCACTTTGCAGCCCAGGCGGGTCTTGAACTCAAATCGCTCCTCCTGCCTCAGCCTCCCGAGTGCTGGGATTACAGTCGCGCTCACCACGCCTGGCTCACGTATCTTTCATCATATTGTGGCTTTCATAACAAAGACTAAACATTTTCTGTTTCCGAAAGGCTTCTTTAAGATGAGCTGACGCCGTCCATGCCGGTCGTCTAGGAGCGAAGCCCTCGTCAGTGAGGGCTGCGCAGGCGCAGCTGTCACTCTGAGCTGCGCCCCGCACCTGCGGTGACCACCCAGGTCCAAGAGAGGGCCCGAGGCCCTGGGGAGCAGCGTTCTGCTGTTGAAGCCGCCGCCCGGCGCAGACTAAGCAGTCAGAACGACCGGCAGTGTCCAGAGCGGCCGGAAATGCAGTCGGGCCTCTCGCAGGAGACAGGCCTCCTGGGAGCGGCGGCAGCCACCCACGCCTTGTTCTTCAGCCTGGGCGGGGGTGCCGCTGCTCCCGAGAGAACCGGGAGCAGGACACGGGGAAAGGCGCTTTCTGGCAGCTCTGTATCTACTGGCCCGGGCCCTTCCCCAGGTCCTCCGTTCCCCGCAGAGAGCCCACCGTCGTCGTCCTCAGGCTCCGAGCTGTCGCGGACCTGGGCTGCGGCTCTCGTGCAGCGTCCGCACCTCTTAACACTCCTCTGGCCCCGGCCTGACGCTAAGTTCGTTCCCTGCGCGCCACTCTGGACGTCCTGCGGGTGCGCGCGCCTCACGCGCCAACGCACGCCCCGCTTCACAGCAAGACTGGGAACGTGTTTACTGTGGGCATCGAGACTTTGGGTCGAGCTCCCATTCTATTGCGAAATTCCTTCCTTGGATTGATTTATGCTCATTTCCTACTAAGCAGAGACGATAGTGTAGCTTTCTCCACTTGGATTACGCTATCATCGCGAAAACACTATCAATTACCAAGTTTTAGTACACTGGATCTACAGACAATATTAATCCGCCTGTTTACAGCCTCCCAAGAGCTGGGATTACAGGCATGCTCCTCTACGCCCAGTCTCAGTTGCCGGCTCGGTGCACCCCAGGAGTGGGGCCAGCATGGCAGGCCTGGGGATCGAACCCCCGGTCCCTGCACCTGCTTGCAGGTGCTTTAATCCGCTGAGCTGCTTGGCCGGCCCTATAACACGTTTCTTGAATGCGAAATATAATCACATCCAGGGCTGAGGCATAGCTTGGCAGTCTGAGTGCCTGCCTAGCAAGGGCAAGTTCCTCAGTACCTGGGTTCGATCCTCAGTACCGCATGCCACGCTGGCCCCGTGCCAAGCTGCCCACCGAGACTGGGTTAGTAGCGCACACCTGTGACTCCAGGGCTGGGGAGGCTGAGACAGGAGGGTCACTAAGAGCCTGAGCCGCAGAGCGAGATCCTGTACCAAATAAATAAATAAATGAATAAATACACGAATGGGTTATGTGACTAGCACAAATAAATATAAGCGCATCCATTCTATTCAGTGTTCACTTGACTAAATTCTTTTATCCTATTTCTTCTAAAAGACGAAAAAAACATTCTATTTGGAAACAAAAATCACATAATAGAGAAAAACTACACTCCATCTCCTCTGCCGCCTACTGAAACAGGTACCGGTTTCACACCACTTGTGCGTGTGGCCGTAACACTAGCTGGCTGTCCCGTGTCACTCCGTGGTGCGTGGCATTTAGCCAGGAGCGCGCAGACGGAAGTCTGCCTCGGGTTTGAGTTTCTTGAATGGATTGGGACAGTTCCCGCCCAAGGGGAGCTGCTGGGCTTGGTGCCAGGCGTGGTGCCGGACCAGGAGGATCAGAACTGCTGCTGTTTACGGCACTCCGAGTTCAGTGTTTCGACTTCGGCACGATTTCTCTGGTCTTAGAAGCCATCATCCCCTGAGATGTAATTTCCATTGCTGTCTCTGTTCTCACCTGAGTTCCACGCAAACGCCTGCAGCACAGACAGTTCAAGGAGGCCAGCGTCGGTCTTTGCTGCATCCTGAGGACCATGAAGAACTTCTGACCCCAGGCCCAGCTGCAGCAATGGGGTGGGAGTCCTCCTGGGCAGCAGCCAGGCGCGGGAAGCTGGTGGCACTGCCCAGGGGCACTCGGGCGGCCAGCTGTGGGGAGCACCAGGGAGGGGCTGGAGCCATGTCCCCTGGCGGTCAGGGACAGCACACTCTGCCTCTGAGCTTTGATACAGGGTTTCTTAGATTCTTTGAGTTTATAGAGAAACCTTCCCTCTAATAATGAGGAAGTCTTCCTTTAACCTTTATTTTTGCCTCCATCTTCTTAGATAGCAAGCAAAGCCATCGCATTCGAGAGGCATAAATTGCAAAAATCTTTTACATCTCAGATTTATCAACACTGGCCTGAGACTAGAGACATGCCAGCTGAGTAGCTGCCGAGCACGTCAGCGTGCTGAGCACCTTCGTGCCAGCTCGTCTTCAGCTGCTCTGGAGACATCCAGGGATTCGGCAGAGAAACCGATGAGGCTTGGACCATGTGTCTCTGGACCCTCCCGACAGCCACGTGGGAAACCGGCGGATTTCTCCCTCTTTTTTCTTCGCAATGCTAGTTACCCAGCCAATTGGATGGATGTATTTGCATCCTTTGACCTTCTATTAGATATAGATTTTTTTCAAACCTAAGGAGTGAAGTCTGATTGACTGCTGGAATGACGCTGGAGGAGGCCAGAGAGCTCAGTACAGAGCTTGGAACTCCGCCGAGAGAGCAGGCAGTCAGCTGCGGAGGAAGTCCGGGACAGGCGCAGCGGCCACCTAGCTCTAGGGGACCTCGAGCGGAGCAGCCACGATTTGCCCTCCCGTGCACAGGCAGAGAGACAGAAGGGAATCGGCCTTCGGCCAGCCCGGGGCCCAGCACCTCCAGGGGGCCGAGCTCTGCAGCTGCTGCCCTGCTGAGGCGGTAAAAATGAGTTCTGAAGGTTTGATTCTGGTGAATGAAAACCAGCATCGACACCATCATTCAGGCGTTTTAAACCTGGAAATCACTTAGGTTCTTCTTCAAGAAGCTTGCAATGCCAGGACACAGGCCTGCCTAGAAGCCAGCCCAGGGCCACGGCTTCATTTCTAGAAAGAGCTTTGTGTCTTCACAGCACGAAACATCTCCCTCTCTCTGGATGGAAGCTCCACCACGATGCTGGATGTCGCACTAGCCCCAGAAGCCAGCATCACGTAATTTCACTTTAAAAATCCATCTGATCACATGGCTTTATGGTTAGAGGAGGGCTGTGAAAGTGACAAATGCCGTGTCCCTTACTGGAAATGCTCAGGACCAGAAAGCGGTTTTCACCTTGAAGCACTCCTGTGTTTCCCAAAACAGCCTGGAACGGGGCCCCGGAGGGGCAGTGCGGGAGGAGGCGCAGCCCAAGGGCCAGCGGTCTCTGCTCACATTCCAGCCTTCTTTGCCCGCCTCCCCAGTAAGACACGTGCAGTGCAGTAAGACCAGCTTCCCGCTCCTGAATCACTAATAGATCCACAGGCCTGAGTGATCGGTGCTCAGGACTCAAGGTCAGACATGGAGTGTTGTACAGTCAGACTGGGAATGGTACCAAGAGGAACAATGTCATGTGACCGCTGCCTTTGAAGAAGTGGAAGGGAGGAAGAAACCTGGGAAGCTGATGAGGAAGAATGATAGGCAAATTGATGCACAGAGAGGAAAAGGAACCATGCTTCTCATCCACCAGGAAAGCTCCTCCCGGAAAATGCACTTACCTAATTAGATGATTGCCTGTCTATTAACACAAACAACAACAGAGAAGAGTGCTGCTTGTGGTGACAATAGCTGCTCAGCAGGGTATAAAAGGACACAGGGGCAGGCAGGCTTCCAAACCTCTCAGACCCTCCACCTCGCAAACCCACCCAGAACCTCCAGCCGCCGACACCATGGTCAACTCCTGTTGTGGCTCCGTCTGCTCTGAGCAGGGCTGTGGCCAGGAGAGCTGCTGCCAGCCCAGTTGCTGCCAGCCCAGCTGCTGTCAGCCCAGCTGCTGTGTGTCCAGCTGCTGTAGGCCCCAGTGCTGCCGCCCCACCTGCTGCGTGTCCAGCTGCTGCAGGCCCCAGTGCTGCCAGTCTGTGTGCTGCCAGCCCATCTGCTGCAGGCCCACCTGCTGTATCTCCACCTGTTGCAGGCCCCAGTGCTGCCAGCCCACCTGCTGCAGGCCCGCCTGTTGCATTTCTAGCTGCTGCAGGCCCAGCTGCTGCATCTCCAGCTGCTGCAGACCCCAGTGCTGCCAGCCTACCTGCTGCCGCCCCAGCTGCTGCATTTCCAGCTGCTGTAGGCCCCAGTGCTGTCAACCCAGCTGCTGCAGGACCAGCTGCTGTCAGCCCAGCTGTTTTGAGACAACCTGCTGTAGGACCACCTGCTGCCGCCCCAGCTGCTGTGTGTCCAGCTGCTGCAGACCTCAGTGCTGCCAACCCAGCTGCTGTCGTCCAAGCTGCTGCATTTCCAGCTGCTGCAGGCCCCAGTGCTGCCAGCCCAGCTGCTGCCAGCCCAGCTGTTTTGAGACCACCTGCTGCAGGACCACCTGCTGCCGCCCCAGCTGCTGTGTGTCCAGCTGTTGCCGCCCTGGCTGCTCTAGCACTTCTTGCTGCTGAGCACTCTGCTCTGCCTGCTGCTGTTGTCAGCTCAACCAGACCTGATGTACGTCACCAGAAGCTGAATACCGAGGGGCCAATTACCAAGCCTCAGTTCCACCTGGGATGGCTTTTGGGCTCCAAATCTACTGTCCTCTTGTCCAAGTTACTATGTCCCCATTGAACACAATTTGAAATTTCTCTGAAATCTTCTGACCTGAAAATACTTGCCGTGTCATATTTTGTCCCATGGAAGTATTCCCATAACTTAATAAATCCTAACTGTCGCCATCACACAAAGACAACGTTGTTGTGCCTCTACTTTTTCTTCTTAGATCGCCGCTCTCTGTCAGGTTTTTCTGTAGCTCATCTTAAGGGACAAGGAGAAGGTAGCGCCTGGTTCCAGGCTGGCCGGCTGCCCTCCCATAGTGCTCTCCTCGAGTGCAGCAGGACAGCTGGCTCTCCAGGCAGCACCTGGACTCTCCAGGGGACTTTCTCTGGTTGAGAACCAAGCTCTGAGCAGGACCACGAAGGCCCTGGGGTCAGGGCTCCGGACTCTGCTCACTAGGTCACCTGCAGTGCCCTCCCTCCCAGTCCGGGACACTTCCTGAGTCCATTTCCGCTGCACTTCTGGGGATCATTTTCTAAAGCAACGACTGGGTCTCAACCCTCATATATGGGTCGGTCCTGCAGACGGGAGGTCCGACGCATGCGTAGTCTGACTCCCAGGATAGCTGTCCTCCAGCGTTTGGTACCAGTGTTCACCCCAGTGTCAAGATTACTGGAAAATCTGAGCACTTCACTGTAGCAACCACTCGGCACTCTTCTAATCTGGTCTTTTTTTGCTCCTCCTCCCCCTCCTCCTCCTCCTCCTCCTCCTGTCCCCCCCCCCCCCCCCCCCCCCCCCCCCCCCCCCCCCCCCCCCGTCATCAGCCACTGCTGTCACTCTGGACAGGACCTGAGGGTGCAGTTAGGCTCACTCTGCGCCTTTGAGTTCAGCACAATGACGGGAAAAGAGGGAGGGGGCCATGTGCGCTGCCCTCGCAGGGCTTCTGAACTGCACCTCGGGTTGGGATTGCGGACTTGGGAGTCGGAGTGACCCCAAGGGTGAGAGTGACTCTGGCGCTGTGGTCTGCAACGCCCAGAGCCCAGTGTTTCAAATTCTGCGTTGTTCTCTATTAGATCCCGGTAATCATATTTTAATTATTTTAGCTACTTTTATTCTAATTTAATCTTGTACAGAAGCACGTGGTACAGACAGTTGAAAGAGGTGGCTTTCAAGCCTGGCTGCCCTAGAGGCTTACGTACAGGAGCCGGGCCCTACTCTGAACCAAAGAAAGCAGGATTGCTGAGGCACGCGCTGGGGCGGACAGCTTCCTCCGCTCCCAGGATCATGTGCCGTGCAGCCGGCCTTGAGGACCTCGCTCTGGGGCTGTGATTTCCTTCTGGGCCCCTCTTTAACAGCAAATCCAGGGCATGCTGGGAATCACGTGGTCTCCCAGTCTAACTGCCAAAATCTCTCTTATTTTCCAGCTTTGCAAAATGGAAGGGCATAAAACAGAAACATGCAGACCGAGCGTTTGCTAAGCAGTTTAATGTGCTAGAATTGAGGCGAGGGTCATGGCTTTAATTCAGTTAAGGAAGGTGCCCAGGGCAAGCAACTCGCCTCTGCTTTCCTGGGGCTTCCCTCACCTTTGCAGTTTTTGGTCCTAGAAGGCCGGCACAGCTGAGCAGGCGGGATCCGCAGTCGTGCTGCCCTGAAGTTGGCTGGAGATCATTACAAGGACACTTGGGTGCTCGCTAGTGCAGCTCTGAAGGGACTCAGGGGTTCCGCATCAACACAGTGACCCCTCCCCCACGTGCCAGACTGAAGAAGCCAGCAGGAAATAAATTGTGCTATGTAGCAGCTGTTTGAATTCTAGATTACAGCTAATCCAGCGGGCAAGCCCACTGATCGCCCGTGTGGTAGAGGGCTTTATGTGGCTGTTACGAACTTTCTGCTATAGCCTGAATGTTTTACACCTTGACAGGGATGGAAGCTTGCTAACGGACCCATTTAGTAACCCCTTCAGTATACACTAGTCAGGTCTCCATTTCTTTTTCTTTCTTTCTTTCTTTTTTTTTTTTTTCTTTTTTTTTTTTTTTTTTTTTTTTTTTTGGTGGAACCAGGGATAGAACTGAGGCCCTTGTGCATGCCAGGGAAGTGCTTATTCCACTGAGCCATCTCCCTGGTCACTTTTTGAACAGAATTCTTCAGGATATAGAAAAGACATTGAAAAAAAGCCCAGATGAGTTCTATACCACGGGTATAGGTGGAAAATCTCAGGATTATAAAGACAGGATAGCGCCAGTGAGATAGCTCAGCAGACAAAGTGCCTGCTTAGGCAAGCTCAGGAACCCAGGCTCGATCTCCAGCACCACATGCCAGGCCTGCCCTGGCCCCAGGTGCGCTGAGCCGGCCACCGAGACCAGGCACGGTGGCGCACGCCTATAATCCCAGCTCTGGGGAGGCTGACAACAGGAGGCTCACTATGAGCCCAAGCTGTATAGTAAGACCCTGTACCAACCAAATACCTAAAAAAAAGAAAAAGAAAAAAGGACAAGATAATATGAGAGACATAAGTCATTTCCAGTGGATGTGTAACTTACACAACCCCAACACAAATCTTTTTCACAAATGTGCAAGCTGGCTCAAAAATGTACTTATGAGGAGAAAATATAAAAAGGCTATAATAGTTCTGAACATCAAGTTCAAAATTACAGATACCAGATATCAAGTCTTAGAAATCGTTGTTAATGAAGAAACTATGGCATTGAGCAGCAGAGTCGGTCTACTAGAACAATCAAACAAGGCGGATCTTAGAATGAGGAACCACACGTATGGGGAGACATGACAGGAGGTAAAGGCTGCCTGGCAGATCAATCGAACGATTTGGGTTCTTTTGCTTTCAATAAATGATGTTAAGTGTGGGGCAAAAGAATCCCCATTGGACCTGTACTGCACATTATGCATA